AATCACTGTGTTTTCTCGCTGCAGTCCGTGCCTGTGCCTGCTTGGTTACAGATCGAAGCTGCTGCATCAGTTCGTGACAGTCGTCGTCACTGTCACTCTCCGTGTCACTGCCCGCAGCCCACGACTCCAAAACGGTCGCTGCTTTCTTGCTGGCACGGGCCATGTGACAGATCGTCCTGCGTGTGCCAGGAACTTCCACGAAGGCTCCGTCCTTACACCGCCGTACCCACAGACTTACAGCTTACAGGCATACAGTATACAGCCACACAGCCACACATACGGTCACACGAATCATGGAATCATATGAATCCGAATCCAAATATGAGTCCGTGCTCATGTAGATTCAAAGACTATTCAAAGACTCAAAGACTGACAATAATTAATCAGCTACTGATGTTATCACGTCACATCCCAGCTTTGTATTCAGTACTCGTGATTTCGAGACTCAATCACTCAATGAATCTCAATGAATGAATCATTGATTCGATTTGAGTACATCGATCCAGGGATCCAGTCTGACCAATGACAGGACAGGGGCACAGCGACCCAGCGACTACTACCCATGATGCAATGATACATCATGATGATCATGATGCAATGATTGCAATGACAAGACAAGTTGTGCAACACCCATGGCATGCCACTGGACTAACTGGTCTGGACTCTAGACAGCCGCACAAACTGCACTTGACATTGACATGGGTCTGACATGGGTCCCATGCTGAAGTGGCGTCGTGCACTGTCCACACCGTGACACCGGGACCGTGCCGTTATAATAATGTGAAAGCAGGGCCAGGGCAGCATGGTCACGCAGTCATGCGCCCGATTCTGCGGGGGTGCAGCAATGCAGCAGCGTGGCAGCATCGAATCGATGCAGGAATTGGCAACGCAGTGCAAGGCCAGTGCAAGGCAAGCAGTAAGTCAGTAAGCGATAGGCGACACACAATGCAAAACAATGCACAACCTGGCAACGCAATGCTACAGCGAAGACTCAGCGAAGACCTACGAACATGATTGACGTGGGTGTGACCGGGTATGACCCCGGGCATGAGGCATGGCAGCATGGCATGGAGTCATGGAGTCAGTCATCATGCAATATATACAATGCATGCCATCATGAGTGACCCAATGATCCCAGTCCGACAATTCCGAGACTCCGAAACAATCCGAATCTAATCAATTCGTTAACAATTCAATTCAAGAATGCCCTACAGCCAGGCTGCCCGAGTAACGCGCATCTGCACCTCCACTGCTTCAACCTCAACAGGGTTCTTCGACGATGACAGCTGGTAGAATCGGGAGAGAACTTCGTGGGAGCGCACAAAGGACAGCGGCTTCTGCAATACGAAGCGGCTTGCATCTTCTCGTTTACAACAAGCCATGTGCCAAGTTGTTCGCGTTTTGTCGGTCAACACAAACAGGTGTGAGGTGTCGTCTAGCTGCTTGGGCGGGAGGAGGAACGCCACACCAATCAGGCCCGTCGTCGAGACTGTGCCGGAGCTCAGCCCTTCGCGAAATTTCTTGTTCATCGAAGCGGCCCAAATGCGCGCAGCAGTGGGACGGGGATTGTCTTCGGGGGCGATCTCGTGCATCTTGGTCTTCGCGGCAGATAGAGAGGGCAAGTCTTGTCGTGATCGTACTGGTGCGAAACGCTCCTCGTTGCCTTCAACTTCGTGCAACAGGGGCCACCCTTCTAAACATGCATCCATGAGGAGTCGTGCTGCAGGCTTCACGTCACTGAACTTGCGCTTCCCGGGCTGACCGTAGCCGCCTTGTCCTAGGAAATGTCGCATGGCCAATCGTCCTGAGCACAGGTCCAGTCCTCCGCTTGGACATCTTGTGCCAAACAGACTCAGTTGCTTGTTCAGTCGCTCTGATTCACGTACGTCTGGCTTGATCATGGCGGCCAATCCGCACACCGTCACGTACAAGCGACAAGAGCAGAACCCAGTCGAAGCGGCGAACGCAAGATCCTTGTAAATCAACTCCATCCGTTTCAGCTTACGGACGACAATGTGCAATTTCTTGTCCTCGGTGTCAAGGATTCGTCGTGCGTGTTTTTGCCGAAGCTCACCTGAAGCGCAGCGGCGCAGGCAGTGCAGTGCAGCAGTAGCAGCAGCAAAAGCCGGTCGCGGCAAGCAGCTGACTTAAGACGCCTATTATAAAAATATACAATGCAGTGATGTTAATGTAGATTTACACTTACGTGACTTACGTGCATCGATTGTGGAGTCAGTCGTAGAGTCGTAGACTCGTCGATCGTAGAATCTAAGAATTGGCTAGTGAAGACTAGAAGAAAGATTCGGTTAATCTGATCTGAATTTGATGTCCAGAGTCCAGAGATACTAGTACTTACTTTCCGGTCGACTGGTCTGCCAGATTGTCACTAGTTTTTACCATGGGAACTCATGGGAACGCGACGACAGTGTCTTCGCACTTGTCATGTCACGTCATTCGTAGACTCGTAGACTCGTGCTCATGTGACTCATGCGGCTCTCATGCCGACCCAGAAACCATGACTTGACTCCACCATGTCACCGTGTCCGACAATGTTTATGAGTCCAGTCCATGGGTCATGAGTTCATGAGTCGTGGGAGTCCATGAAACGTTCATGAGGCCATGACTCCATGACTGGATATGATTTTGTCTGCCTTGCTGACCGGTTCCTTACTTCATTGCTGCGTTGATTCAGCTTCAGTCATGACCCATGACACCTCTGACTGACTCCTCCATGATCATGACTGAGCATGAACCTCATGACTCGGTCACTGACCGAGCTGCTGCTACAATGAATCCTGCTTGTGTTCAACGTGCGATCGTCAGCAAATGGGACCAGAGACAAACTGAGACTCACGTTCTCATGAAATTCATGAAGTCATGAAATACATGCTGCTTACGACTGGCTCACGACTCGATTCGACTCACTCTAAACTAAACAACCCCGAGCGACCCGCCGCAGGAAGACGGGAAGACGGCAAAGATGCGAATCAATGGGACCGATCAATTCAACCCCAAAGCACTCAAAGCACAAGAACACTAATCTAATCGACGGAAGAACGCACCTGTAAGTGATGATCAACTAATTAACTAATGCACACAATGTGGGATCGCCGATCGCCGTGAGTGAGCCGTGAGCTAAAAAGAAAAAGGCCGCGTTGCAGAAGCATCGCGGAGGTGTCAGGACCAGGAAGAACAGAAAGTAGGGATCTGTCAGCAACGGCCGCGTGATCTTGCGATGGAAGCCAGAGGCACTATGGAGCAGCACATCCATCGCCAGATCCATTGCGGACTGCCTGTCACCCAGGGGCATGGCGTCCATGGCGCCGGATATGCGCGACCATACGTGCGCGAACTCGTCGCGTAGCGAAGCGGCTTTCCCGGTGACCAGTTGCGCGATGTGACCCCACTCGCCTTGCCGCTGCTTTAGGAAGTTCGACAGGTGCGAGGCCGGACTGCGACATGCATGCATGACCCGAACGCAGCACCACCACAAAGGGTCTTGAATGCATTGCACTGCCCGCTGCCGCCACTTGGAGAACTTCTCCGTGTAGGCCTGGTGATACAGAATGATGGAGTCCGCTGACTTGGCGCTCGCTATTAACGCAAAACGACGCAAAACTTAAAAACAACAGAACACAGTATATGCAAGCGGGCCATTCGGCCATTAGACCAGTCCAGATTTGAAAATGTTGCAACTGCGTGGAAATTACAACTGCAGTGACGACTCGACGACTTGATACGAAGTTACGATGATTATTGACATTGACTGTTGAATATTCAACAGACTATTCAGTGCACGAATGCACGAATCAATGGACGTGACGTGCGCCTTGGTTTCCTCGATCGCCACTTCGTCGACCGATGCTGACGCCTGTGCAGTTTTCTCGTCCTTCGTTTTAGGTCCGAGGACCTTCAGCAGTGTCCCGGGAAGCGACTGACTCGTCTGGATGAAGCGAGATTCTGGTTTGTCACAACCACCCCATCTGCCAGAGCAAGCCTTTGGCCACAACGTCTTCGCGTGTTTCTGAGCACTCTGGTAGCCGTGATCTGCAGTCCAAGTCTGAAAAAGCTGTCGAGCTACGTCGCGGCACACGTGCGATGTTGTGGCCAGGCTCGCGTAGTAGCGCCAGTCACGCAGCTGGGCCAAGCGACGGTCAACTGCTTTTAACGCAGACAGTGACACCAAGTGATGCGAGTGTTCAAGACAGGTGGTGTCCATATACAGAACGTTCTTCTGCTCCAGCACATCCGCATGTATGATGCGTCTCGCACCAGCTTCGTTGGATCCACCGTCAGTGGTGGCCAGGTACCAGTGTAACACGTGAGACCTTAAAAGTATTTCAAGCACTAGTACCAAATACCATCACCTAGACTCTTAGACCCCGTATCTTCGCCACGAAGCCACATCGCAGATTTTACATTCTAAGATCTAAGAATCTAATTATAATAATAAGAAGAGGAATAACAATATAATACTAATAATAATATTTTATAATACTAAACAGAAGCAAAAGCAGCAGCTGGAAGCCGCCCAGACACACCATTTCTCAATGTCTCACAGTCACAGTCACACACGCACGGGTTCAAAGATGCAATCACACGTTCAATCAGATTAATCCAAAGCGTTGCAACCGACAATCATGAGTCATGAGACATGAAACCATGTGACCATGAGAGGGACGAGACGGGACGTGAAACAACGTGCGGCTCATGTGGCTCATGTGAGGCTCATGCGGCTCATTCATGATGATACTCCGACTCACATGCAGCCCATGAGTGTAACCTTATAAGGCTCATGCGGGACCATGAGACATGAGACATGGACATGGACACAGAGTGCATCATGTCACTCACGTCCACGTGACAAGGTGACATATGATGAATGTATGCCGTGGGCAACGTTGGCAATGCCTCAATGACTCAATGACTGCGAACTATACAAATTACGAGAAACACAAACTGCCAAACTGCAAATGCACAGTACGTAAGCCGTCGGAATTTTAACAGCCGTGAAACTTCTGCAGCTTGTCGTCCTGTTCCACCGTCTTCCATGTGATGCAACCAAGGCCATCCAACTGCTTCAAGGTTTGCGCAACTGTGTCGCTCGAGGTGCTGCTTTCTACCGGAAGAACGTCTGCCACACGGATCATTGGTTCGTACCAATCATCGAAAACAAAGGACGTGTGACCCCAACTGGCATCACCTGTGCCTGTGACTGCATTCTTCAAGGTGGCGCTGTGCAGGATCAGTGCCGCGAGCTTGCTGCCGCGTAAGATGCCTGAGTTTGTGGCGTCCTGTCGATAGGAATGGAAGACTAGCTGGAAGTGCTGCATTGCGTCTGATGGCGCTGTGAGGTCGTCGTACAAAGACGAGTAAAATAGGCGGCTGCTGGCAACAAGCGCCGTGCCGGCCCGGGACTCATAACGACTGACAGAGTACCTTGAGATGTCTTCCAGCAAGATGGCTCCGATGTCTGCCGTTGCACAATTGGAAAAGTTCCTCCGGATTGCTAGGGACAACTTGCCTCTAAGAGATAGATGCTTGCCCTTTTTGCTTCGCTCCAGTCGAAGAAAATCGTCGCCGTCGTCTTCCCGTCGTCTACTCCGCTGGGACTGCATTTGTCGAACTTTCTCCGCAACTCGGTTGAGTTTCTTGATAAATGATTTCTTCTCATTGAGATGCCTCGCAGAAGCTTCTCTGAGGCGGGCTATCCGGATGTCCTTTTGCCGAGACATCTTCAAAGTCTGCCGATGAGCCTACACATGGTTTGGCATCGTGCCGAAATCATGCATCCAACGTCCTACTTACCTGGCGGCCCCGTGACGGGCCAGTGATGATTTAAAAGCAAGAGACAACACATGTTCCCACCTAAGACAAGCAACCTTTTGCAGAGCTGCCAGTTGTGACTCCAGCTGAGATATCCTCTGTCGCCGAGCAGCACCCTCATCGTCCACAACATGTTCAGCAGATTCAGCCGAGTTCGCCGACGTGGACGACACCGCGCGACTTCGAACAGCTATCCGAGCATGTGCTAGCATGTCGTGCCACTCATCAGTACTGAGGTGAATATCGAGATTTTTTGCGAGGAAAACAGGCACCAGGTCAATGTCATACAGACCCTGAGAAACCCTGAATCGTGCCGCCTCCTCTGAGCGGAAGAACCAGGTCGTCCGCCGTTTGCGTTCACTCACAACATTCTCGGGGTTTGTCCTTGGTCAGCATCTTATGATATTCGCCTGGTATTCGCGGAGGGGGAGAGGGGGGTGGGCATGCAGGATATTGTGTGCTCTCAGAGTGGTTATCACTGCCCCAAAGGTTCCGTGACTGCAAGCTAACCAGACAAAACGCAGCATGAACGCATGTCCACATGTGGCATACTGCTGTGCGGAATCGCTGCACTAATCTGAAATGCAATTACCTGACACCAGACTCCGACATCGAGAATTGTAACCCCGTGATCATATATGGTCAAAATCCATGAACACCGTGCCTGGAAAGATATATCGAGAGCATGTTGCTGGCGGGCGTCTCGCTGCCACTGTCGTCTAACAGAGACAGCAGCCACTGCACCGAAGGCTCGTCAATGCACAGCCCGCTGCCCACTGCAGACACTCGTGCGGCAATGATCAGCAGCCGAAGCAATTGCAGCATGATGCTAAGCACGGTGAGAATCAAGAAGTTTGAGGTGTGTAAAATGAAGATGGACATGTGGATTCTAGGATGTGTGGGCGCTTCTGACATACAAGTTCATGTGCCTAGGTTTCGCAAATGCAGCTCCATGCTAGGGACATGTCGACATGTCGTGAATCAGAATGATCACACGCTGCAGCTTGATTTCTTGACATTCACCAGTCCGGAATCTCTGAACCATGGGAGCGAAACTCGATGGTCTGCCTTTGTTGCGAGACAAATCTCGCAATCCGAAACTCGATGGTCTGCCTTTGTTGCGACACAAATCTCGCAATCCGAAACTCGATGGTCTGCCTTTGTTGCGACACAAATCTCGCAATCATGAAATGTGCATGTGCATATGTGTAAGTTGGACTGAGACAAAAATATCGATATTACATATCTACAAGAGCAACATGCAATCATTGAGCATGACAAGAAAGGCGTTCTGACCCTTACCGTAGACAAAAAGGCCTTACCGTAGACAAGAAGGTGGGCGCCAGGAGGCGGGGGTTCCGCTGCCTCCTGGCGCCAATGTTGGGGTCAACCCAGAAGCCACTTTGCACGTCACGATACAAAACTACAAGATTCCAAGATGTTGTCTTAGATTTTTCTTTGTTGGTGTAATGTTGTGTTATTGCAATTGTGAAGGTTTGGGGCTTAGAGCTGCAAGCTGCAGGCTGAACAGGACAGGCCAAGATCCAGTCTTAGACCCATAAGCAAGCGTGCTTGCTCCCGCATGAGATTTAGTTTCCCAGGCTTACTGCGTCAGGTTTTGCAGTTTTCGCATGTTGCTTAAAGCAGTGAAGCCGAAGACCCTGCAGGACGCAACCATCGACTTCCTCAAGACAAAGATCGTGAGTTGGCTGCAAAGAGGCCTAGGCTTCGGGTCGTGTTCCGTTCGCCTCAATGTTATTTTTTTATATCTGCGTCCGTCAGCACTTCCTCAACGATACGGCCCTCTGGTTTCTGCACTTATGTGTTTAACTGTTATCGCCGTGGGTCATGCTTGTCGGTTTACGCAGCCGCAGAAGCAGCAGCGGCACCAGCAGCGGCACCAGCAGCAGCAGCAGGAAGAAGAATAGCCAGGGGCAGGTGCAGGCGCAGAAGGAGCTGCCGCAGCTGCTTACATGTACGGTGAAGGCCAGACCTGACTCCGAACCTCTGAGGCAGAGTCGTGGATGGGGTGTTGTCTTCGTTTGATTGCTGCGCATTCCTCAAAGCAAGCCGCAGGCCTTGCTTCGCCACCTCTTGCCGTCCAGGGTTGGAAGTCGGATTTAGCAAAGAATCCTCGAAGCCTCAGTTCCTAGAGCTCTGGCCGCAAAGCCGGACCACTATTCCCCCACACAAATTGTTTGAAACCCTGAATGAAATGATAGAAGTAAGTATCGGCAAGATTTCCAAAACGATAACACGAAACTCTGCGAACGTCCCACTTAAAGGGAAGGCCCTCTCTGTGAAGCCCAGGCAACTCTGCAGAATCGCCTTGCCGTCGAGTCCCTTCAGGGCTCCGGCGAGGGCGAGGCCTAGCCATAAGGGTTGCAAACGCAGAGTTTAGACGTCAAGTCTGTATAGGATTTAGGTCCAGCCCTTGTTGTCGTTTATGCGGGTTTAGTGTTGAGTTTGGTTTAGTTTGGGTGTTGGTTTCATGCAGGGTTTAGGATTTAGGGTTCAGGATTGATGTTTCAATCGTGTGAGAATTGGGGGTTGAAGGGCCCTGTTTCCAGGGGTTCCGCGGGTCTTTAAGGCCCCCGCAAGGCCTCCAGGCTTCACCTCTTTTAAGGCCGGCAATTCTTAGATGCATTGGTTTAGCACATTGGGTATGATATGTTTTTCACCCTATAGGCCCTAAACCAAACCGGAAACCCTAAACCCTAAAACGCCCCATAGGCCCTAAACCTTATGCACCCCATAGTACAGACCCTAAACCCTGTTCCCTGTAGACCGTAAACCAAACCAGAAACCCTATCTAAACCACATAAAACCCTATAGGCCCTAAACCCTATGCACCCTATATAGACCCTAAACCCTAAACCCTGTGAGCGAGTGCACATGTCCACCTTAAAAAAAACCCTGCAGCCCCTAAACCCTAAACCCTTATGGTAAATACAAACCAGAAATGATCCAACAGGATCTCCAGCAAAGCCTGGAGACGGAGAGGCGCCGCAACGAGGCGCAGTTGGGGTCACAGAGTCTTCTGGGATTCAAAGTTTCGGGTTTAGGGTTTGGGGTTTAGGGTTCAGGTTTTATAGTCTATATAGGGTTTAGGGGACTCTTATCCAACCGACGTGTCGAGTTCGCGTCGGTAGTGGGCTTCGTACGTGAATAGGTGCACGCACGCACACACACACACACACACCCTTGAGCCCCACCCTCTAAACCCTAAACCCTATAAACCCCAGACCCTATAAGCCCTATAAGCCCTAAACCCCTAAAGCCCTATAAACCCTAACCTCAGGAGATGTCCCGGGAGTTGCAACACGCAGCCCTGGAAATCGACGACTTGCGGATGGAGCTCCGGGAGGCGAAGCGAGTCCCAGAGAGCCCAATATACCCCTTAAATAAGGAATATACCTTAAATTATAGGCTTCCTTAAAGGGTCTCTATAAGGGTTCTATAAGGGAATGAAGGGAATAGATACCTTAAACTATAGGGGCCTTAATATTATGAGTTAAGGTCTATTCCTTAATTATGGGGTATTGGGTTCTCTGGGGTTGTCTTTCAAGCTTTGAGAAAGGCAGGGAAAGGGGCAGAGGCATTGTCTTAGGGTTTAAGGTTTAGGGTTTAGGGTTTAAAGTTTAAGGTTTAGGGTAGAAGATCCAGACGATGGCCCGGATTTACTCAATGCTCTTTAAAGGACTCTTGAGGACTCTTGCAGGAGTAAGACCATTTTTGTTTGGACGTGTGTTTGTTTGAGGGGGGCGGGAGGGCTAAGGTTTTTTGGGAGTTTGGAGCTTGCTGTTCTTCTTTGCCAAATCCTGATGCTTTTTCCATGTCAGAGCTTCGGGCACACCGGGGTGAGGGCTAAGGGTAGACGCGGTTCTACTGGCTTTTGTTTGATTTCATATACTGATTGTGGGTTATCGGTGGTTTGGCCTGGTAGGGCTTGATAAGCCCGCTATGCCCTAAACGGGCATACCGTGACTTGCATGCAGTTTTGTGAACCTAAGCCCTAAACCCTAAACCCCAAACCGTCAAGGCTCGTGGAGTTCGCAGTTCATGGGTCGGGTCTTGGGCTCGGGGCTTGTCCGAAAGGTGGGCATGGCACTGCTTATGGCCTGCTAGTAGGGCCGTTTAGGGTTTGGAGTTTTCGGTTTAGGCTTCGATACGAGACTTCTTTGACGAGACTTCGTCAGGATCGGAAAAATAGGTACCAAATTTCGAACAAGCGTCATGGGCAGCAGCAGGGTTCTGTGACGAAGGTAAAAGATCCAGCGTGTCTTTCGCTGCGGAGGGGTGCCAGCAGTGCAGCTTGTTTTATGTTTCGCTGCTCTGTAGGTCTTCAAGCAAAACACGGACGATTCGCATCCTGAAGTTCGGGCTCTGAATGCTAGCACTGCCATATGGGTAGTTCTCTAAATTAAGGTCCCGCTTTTAGGTCCCCAACATTTAACGGCACTCTTATGAAAAGGACCCCCAACAGGGGCCCTAAGTTAGAAAGATACCACATCCGATTGTTCGCAGAATTACGCCGTCTTTGATTTTATGGTTATTGCCCGCAACCCTGGAAGCCGCTACTTGCAGGATCAGGGAACATAGTCAGTTAGGGTCTAGTTAATTAAGTCTAGTTGCGATTTAGGGGTGTAGGGTTTAGGGCCTTACTCATATCTCTACAGTCTCTACGGTACCGGGTCCTCTCTGGGAACACCCTAAACCCCCTAAACCTTAAACCCCTAAACCCTAAACCCTTTGGTACCGGAAGGCCCGGGCAGAGGTTGCTTCGCTGCAGGCAGAGATGGAGAGACTCTCTTGCAAGATGCTGTTTGTACCCATAGGCTCCTAAGTAGGTCCTTTTGGGGATTACCTTGTAGGATTCTAAATATAAGCCACAAAAAGGAACTACTTAGGAGCCTGTGGGTAGGTTTTGAGGATTTCCCCGGGTTTAGGTTACAGTGTTTTGTTGTGCTATTCTATGGGCTTGCTTCGTTGGTTTAGGCTTTTCATCCTGTTTTTGTTGGGGTCTTTGACTTGTTTTTTTTTTTACAAAGCTTGCAGCACCAGCTCGGGCGTCATTCGTTTGGCTTTCAGGCTTTCCAGCTTGCGGGGCTTAGGTGTTACGGAGTTTAGGGCTTTTAGGGGTGGAGGGCTTCAGGGGTTTCGGATTACGCCCTACTGCTCAGGAAATCCGTGCTGCATGCCAACAGCAACGAGAATCACAACGGCCCAGAGCTTAGTTTCAGCGGCTTCGCGTCTGTAGGGCCTCTTAGTTTTTGGGGTTGCAGGGTTCTTTGGGCTTAGGGTTCAGGTTTCGGGGAGGCAAAATCAGTAAAAGTCCGAACCAGGAATAGCCGTGAATAGCCAAAGCTACGGAAGGCTGCGCG